CTGCAGGTTCGGAGCAGGCTTTAGACTTCTCAGAGTCAGCAAAAGAACTATGCCAACAAGCGTTGGTCTGACCTGGAGTTTTAGGTGGGGGATATGGTTCTCCTGAAGGTGTCACCTTGGAAAGGTGTCATCTGATTCATGAAGCGTGGCAATTTGGGCCACATGTACATTGGTTCGTTTAGTGTTTTGGCCCGGGTGGGTCGGGTGGCGTGTCGAATGGATCTATCACCCGAGCTCAGTCAGATCCATAACACTTTTCATGTTTCCCAGCTATGGAAATGCTTAGTGGATGACTCCATTGTTGTGCCCTTAAAGGATATTCAGTTGGATGACCGCTTGAACTACGTTGAGAAGCCAGTGGCGATTCTGAATCGGAAGACAAAAACCTTGAGGAACAAGGTTGTGCAGTTAGTGAAGGGGTAGTGGTTGCAACACAAGGGGTCAGAGTGGACGTGGGAGTCAGAGGAGGAGATGAGGGAGCACTATCTAGGATTATTTGAGACATCAGACTTTGAGGACAAAGTCTGAGACAAGTGGGGGAGAATTGTAACGTCTGGTTCCTGGTATGTATTTGTTGGATTAATGTCTAAGTCCATAATTATATTTGGTATGTACTTGACCCGACCCGGCATGGTCCATTTGGGTTGCATGACATCATGCACTTGGATAGACTAAATGAGAGAAATAAGACACTTATGGTTATTAATATATTATAAATTCTAATATATTAATAATAAGGATAATAATATTTAATTATTATTGATCAAGAATTAATTTAGAATTAATTATGTGATCAAAAGAAGACTACTTAAATATATGGATTGATTGTGTAAATCATCCATAACTTATATAGTGGGCCAAAGCTCCATGGGTAATCAAACTGGGTTAAACCCATAGGATGCTCCATGGAGGTTACTGTAAGGTCAAACCTTGAAATATGATTATGTTTAAAACAGACTCAGCGTCAGCACATGTCTCAGCATCAGTACCAGCGTCTAACTGCTCAGTTTGTATTAGTTTAGTTTATTCAGTGCATTGTAACAAATCATGTATTTATTCTGTTTCCTTAGTTATCTTGATTTATTAGCTAGCGTATCCCTGAATTGTAGGGATTGTCTAGAATAACAGTATATATTATCTTGTACAGGTTTGTGAATCGTCATGCTTTTCACAAACCCTAATCGTCGCTTTGTGCACACGATAATCTCTTTGTGAGATTATCTTTCTTAGTGAAAGTTTTTCTTTGTGAATTTCTCTTGTTCTTATTTATTGTCTTTGTTTGATATATCGATTGATCTGAAGGCCTCTTCAATTGGTATCAGAGCAGGTTTCTTTTATCAAACAAATGGCTTCATCTTCTTCTTCATCAAACTCATCAAATCATCCTTCTGCTAAAATCCCTTCTTTCGATGAAACGAACTTTTCTATGTGGAAAATAAAGGCTCTATATACCTTAGAGTCTGTTGATGAAGACATGCTGGACATCGTTGAAAAAGGTCCTTATGTTCCGATGTATCAGCCTCTTAAAAATAATGTTCCTGATGGTACTATGAAGAAAACTCCCAAAGAAAACTGGACGGCAGATGACAAGAGAAAACATGGTCTAGATGTCCGTGCTCGTGCTGCAATCAGCTACTCTCTGCCATACAACATCTTTGGGCTGGTTCAAAATTGCATCTCAGCAAAAGAGATGATGGATACTCTGACTGTATCTTTTGAAGGAACTGAAGAAGTCAAGGCTACTCAAATAAATGATCTTAATCGAAGGTATGAACATTTTTTTGCTAAAAAAGGTGAAACCTTGACTCAAACTTTTAACAGATTCAATACTCTTGTTAATGATCTTCGGAGACTAGATCAGTTGAAGCATAGAACTGTTCTAGTGCAAAAGTTTTTGGATTCTCTGGGTGCAGGTTGGGAGAATCATGTTGATGTGCTGAAAAACAGTGAGAAGATCAACTCTATGGACTTACAAAGTCTCTATGGAAATCTTCGATACTATGAAGAATCCAAGCTTCAAAGAAAGGAACTGATGAAAGATTCTCAGCGTGAATCCTCTGTAGCCTTGTTCTCCAACAAAAGGCTGGTGTCAGATTCAGACACTGAAAATGATTCAAATACTGATTCATCTAAAACTGACACTGATGATCTTGAAAAGGTTGTGGCAAGTGCAGCCTTGATTGTGAAGACCTTTGAAAAATCAGGTCGAAACTTCTCAAAGTTTCAAAAGAAGATGGGTGGAAAGTTCTTAAAATGGTCAGGAGCTGATAAAGGGCATGGTGCTTATAAGAAAGAGAAGGCTCAGTGCTTTAACTGTGGGAGCACTGATCATTTTGCAAAGGATTGTAAACAAAAGAAACAAGGCTCAGATGAATACTGGAAGCAGAAGTACAACAAGCTGATTGAGAAGCTAAAAGCTGAAAACTTGGAACATAAAGTGCTTGTAGCTGAAGAAGAAAAATGGAAAACTGATGAAGAGTCATCAGATGATGAAGTCAAGTGTCTAATGGTCAATATAGAGGACCCGACTATTTTTTATAAAGACAAAAGTACTTTTGACACTGATATGTCTGATGCTGAAAATTCTAGGAAGCACAACATTGACTCTTCTTCAATGTACCAGGTTAAAAACTTTGTTTCCTATTCAATGAATGAAAAAATCAAAATGTTTGAGTATTTGGGTGTCATTAATTCTAAGAAGAATCAAACCAAAAGAAATTTGCAAAATCAAATTGATCTTCTTGAAACTGATATATCCATGAAAAATAGTATTATTGAGTCCACTCAGGAAAATCTTAGAATTACTAGTTTGTCAAATTCATCTTTGTCTGCTGAAATTGATGATGTTAAAAAACTTTTGATCAAAGAACAAACTGTGCTTCACACTTGGGCAAAATCTCATAAGAATGCTAATTATATTATTTCAGCTCAAATTCCACATTCTTGTGAGAAAATTCTTGGGGGTAATTTTGCAGAAGCTGAAAAAGTTTTTAAATCACAAGAAAAGGAATATGAGGTCTATTCCATGAATGTGATGAAAACAATTTCAAAAATAAGTTTGTCAGTAACTCTTTTATTAATCAAAGTTTAATTGATGAATATTGCATTACTAAT